CCTAGAATTTGACTATGCCATCACCACACAGCCAGGTGCTAGGATGTCAGGCATGCACTGTTACATACTCTTTCCATGTTATAAAGGAAACTTGTTTATGACCTTCCAATGCTTAACAATAATTTAAAATGATGAATTACGAAATAAAAGAAAAAGTGGTAAACACCTGTGGTGTGCACAGACTTTTGACTGGTAGCAGGCTAGTTAGCACCAGGAACAGATGCCATGGTATATCGTATCTTGGCGGTATTTTCAAAAGCGTGACAAAGATATTACTTATCGGATGCATACATAAACTATTTGTCTAGGCCTACCTATACGCAATGCTCATAGTACCAGCACATCTATGTTTTTTTCTTCAAAGAACAGGTGTTCTGCCCTTTTTTCCTATCCAACAACAATTGCTCCTAAGTACTACAGTACATTACATCACACGTTTACAATCGCTGAAAATTTTTGCTACTTTTGCATTTTAACATGGTTTATCTTAAATGTTATTTATATTTTGTTTATATTTGTGTTCATTACAAACAATCCATGTGTATATTGTTTGCATTCCTCTGAATTCCATAAATATAGGACCAGATTTTAGTTAAACGATTTCCCAAAACCATAGTTCGAACGAGCGTTTGCAAACACTGTTGTTAAGTTGTGTAGTTTGAACTACAACTCTCGAGCTATACTTAGAAGCTTAGTTCTGGGTTACTACATCATCAATGGTGGAAAATGCAATCAAAGGAGGGTAGTCACCATGTAAGTAAGGTGAAAATATTAATCTTGCTGTAGACATCTATAACGTCAGGTGCTTTGAAAATGTAGTTGTAGAAGTGCTTTGAAGATGGTGGAGCGGGAGGTAGTGCTATTGTTCGGCAACCAGAGGGTTACAGGTTCGAGCCCTTGTTCTTCCTGACCCCATCAAAGTGTCCTTGAGCAAGACACTAAACCCCAAATTGCCCCCGGTGTGCAGGTTGGTGCCTTGCATGGCAGCCTCTGCCACCGATGTATGAATCTGTGGTAAGCATGGGTGAATGTGAGACATTTATTGTAAAGCGCTTTGAGTACTCGTAGGAGTAGAAAAGTGCTATATGAATGCAGTCCATTTACCATTCATCTCAGGTCACTGGGTAGCATCCATATCTCACAGCAAAACAGAGAGCCCCAGGACTCTAAAAACTTGGACTTTTGTCCTCTTACATCTACTGACTTTATAGGAAGAGTCACTAGAGACATGAATGTCACTGCTGAGTTAAGTGGACCTCGTGGTCAACATTGTCTCCACAGACAGACACACTGCTGATGGCTGTGCCCAAGTGATCATTAAAGCCCTGGACCTTGGTTTTTATCCAGGACATTCACAAGCCCCGATCAGAGCCTCCATGGACCCCGCAAAGATCACAGCATCATCGGAGAAGTCAAGATCAGTGAATCTTTCTTCACATACCGATGCTCCACAGCCCCTGGACCCCACGACCCTGCCCAACACCCAATCCATGCAAGCACTGAACAGAGTAGGAGCAAGAACACACCCCTGATGAACCCCAAATTCAACTAGGAAGAACACAGAAGTTCTGCCTCCATTTTGCACAGCACTCACACTACCAATGTATAGGCCAGCTATGAAGTCCAGCAACTTCGGGGGGATCCCACAAATCCTCAGGATGTCTCACAGTGTTGCTTGATCAATTGAATCAAACGTTTTATGAAAAGCAACAAAGGCTGCAAAGAAATTTTATTCTTGTTTGCACTCGATGAAAACCATCAATACCAGGATGCGGTCAATGGTAGACTTAGGTGTAATACCAGCCTGTTTTGGTCACTGGTAGGAGAGTATGTGATCATGGATCCTGTTGAGGATGACCCTAGCAAGGACCTTACCCGGCACTGAGAGCAGTGTTATCCCCCTATAGCTGTCGCAATCCAGGCAATCACCCGTCCCTTTCCAGTTTGGGACAACAAGTCCTGTTTTCTAGTCAGTTGGGATGACACCCAAATGGAAGCAAAGATTGCCTGCAATGCCAGGAGGACAGCCTTACCACCCATGTGGAGAAGTTCATCCCAGATATCACAGATCCCTACAAGGTTCCCTACCCTCAGCTGGTTCACCATGTGTGCATTCTCATTAAGATGTGGTGGTTCATAACTAATCAGAGGATCAGCCTCAATAACTATGGACCCAGAGATGTCCAACATCCTAGCCAAAGGATTAGCTTTATACAGCTGCTCAAAGTAGCCAGTCTAGTAGGTCCAAACTGCAGTGTCATCCATATGGACTATTCCATCATCCTCCCTGATTGCAGATGTGTGTAAAGCTTTAATCTTTCAGTAAGGCTGTACTGCAGGATGTAGGTTACTAGACCATAATTGGTCACAGATTCTTCTAACAAAAGCCTCCCAGCTGTCCTACTCAATTCCCAGTACAGAACAGAATTTCCATCAAGCCGTGTGCTGCAGCTCTTCTAGATAATATCCAAGGCACCCTGTGAGATGAAACACCTCCTTCTGGGAACACCAGCAATATCAACCCTCAGCAACTTTAAGGGTCTCATTCTCCTAGTAGGTGGTAGCCTATTAGACCTATGCTGAATCTATAGAGTAGCAACAACAAGTCTATGATCAGAATTCCCATACTTGGCACTCCTGTAGACCCTGCAGTTCCATAGGAGTCTTCAGCACCTGCCCCCAAGAATGTGATTGATCCTTCACTGCACCACCAGTATTAGAGTACCAAGTCCAATGATGTGGAACCAGGATCCAGTGTCTCGCAGCCCCTGACCTTTTGCAATGTCAAGGAATATGGATCCATTTTTACCACGATTATCAGATCCATGGGGACTGACACAATCCTCATAACCAGCCCTGTCAGTGCCAGTGGTTGCATTGAAGTCACCCATGACTAGAGGCGTGTCACCTCGTGGGCCCCCCTCAACAACCAAGTGAAGTTCCAAATACAATGTCTCCCTCATCGGGACATCACTCACCGTGGTCAGAACATACACTGACAGCAGACAAGACACCCAGAGAGTGCCTTTGGCTGAACCTCATAATATACTCGTTGAAAGGAGTGACATTGAACACCATTGAGAGGAGCTGATCTGCCACAGTACCAGCCATTCCTTGAGTATGGTAGCCTTCAAAGTGACCAGATTAATAATAGGTGTACCCACCTACAGAGATCTGGCTACTCCCTGGTCTGTGTACCTCAGAGAGTGCCGCAACTAAAATGCATGTTTATGAAGCTCCTCCAGGAGAGGAAGATGGTCATCATGGCAGAGAGACAAGACATTCCACGTACCTACCCGGATTGGCCCTCCCAGGTTAGGGCCCGAGTGCTGCCCTGCAATGAGCGACACCTCAGCACCACCCCAGTCCCAGTCCCCAATAGGTCTCACCCCATTGGCTCTCCTATGGTTTCGTCTGTTCCAGGGATGAGGCTCCCCCATCCCCTTAATCATGTGTTCAGCATTCCCGTGGGCAGCTGCAGCAGGGCTACTCCCACGGAGAGCTCAACAGAGTCCTGTCTGCTTTGTCAGAGCTGTATGAAGTTTTTACGGTAGCTGGAATGCCAATCCCACCACCAATCCCCAAATTTTTCCTTGTTAGTTGGAGGATCGCTTGCAGGGCTGGATGCAGTTTCCCATCATACCCAGGACCATACCCAAAATTTCTGGTATGGTAGTAAATTCGCGCAAGGCATCAAAAAAATAACAGAACACTGGCACCTCTCAATATCTGCTGATACTGAACAACAAGGGGAGTACCAGCACCTGGTTTGCCCCACTTCAGTGGTTAATTTGTGCCGGACCAATCAGGGTTAGCAACTGTCCTACACTGCCCTTCATGTCTCCTCCTCATTTAGTCAGCAGGTGTTGCTGGCCATCTTGTCCTCCTCAATGTCTCTTGCCCTTCAACCTCAGTGTGCTTTCTCAATTCCCCAGATGGCCACGTAACTCTATGAGCTCTATGAGTGTGTGGTTTAGAAACTGTTAACCTCCTGACATGGGTTTGAGGCTGGTTAAAGACTAACCTCATCTGTTTAATTATATTTAGTTGGTTTTCTGTTCCCTAGTGTTTTGTTTGTCTTAGTTTTACTATGTTTGTCCTCTTTGTCTTCTGTTATGGTTTTGTATTGTACTTTTTTTTCTTGTTTAATTTTCCTAGTGTAGTATTTCCCGGTGTTTCCTTAGTTTCAGGTTTGTAGTTCTTTAGTTCTGTGCCTATTAGCGTTACTGAGGGATTTCCCTATAGTTAATTTGTAGTTATTTAATTATTTTCATTCAGTTCACTCATTTATTGGTTTTATATTTCTTACTTTTTATATTTCTTTCAGTCCTTGCTACTTGCTTCCTCACATCATGTTCTTTGCGTATCTCATACAACTCACTCTCACCAAGGCCATCAGACCCCAGGCTCCAGGAGTTTGTATGAAGACCATAGATAAAGGCTCTGCTTCCCCCATTGGGGGCACAGACAGAGGCAGACAGACACTGAACCAGCCACGTGTGAACATCTTTCTATAACATCCTCATTCTGTCTTAATAAAGAGGTTCCAAGTACCAGTTCCATCAACGGCATAGGTGCAGGTCAGGTAGAGGGGCAGGTTAGTTCTCTGTTTCCTGAAGGGGGAGACAGGGAACTCCAGTCAGGCCAGCCTCTCAGTCCGAGGTCCCTCAATGCTCTCTGGTCCCAGTTCCCATTTCAGTCTTGCTGTCCCCTCGTCATTCTCCCATTCCTGTCCTGCAGTCTCCTTGGTATCCTCTGGCTTCCATCCAGCCGTACTGCCTTTCACCCCAGCCAATCCTTCATCTGGGACTGCAATGGTCCACTCACCCAGTCCTTTTATGTCCTGTCCCCAGTCTGTCAACCCTCCAGTATCTCTTTGACCCCAGTCTGATCCTACCCAGTTCCTTCTTCCTCTGTTCCCGAACCTGCCACCCTGTCAAACTCCTTTTGTACCTTTCCCTTCCCTTCTAGTTTCCCTACTCCATTCTGGTCCTCACTTCATGTACTTCTTTGTATACTCCAAAAGTACTGTGAAGTCATCACAATCCCACTTCATGGAAATCTTTAGTAAAAAGCAAAAGATTTATACGAGATGAAGAGAGATCCGAGTTGATATGGAACCATCACATAGCGAGCCATCCCTAGCCGGGCCTGCGATGCTAGAATATTGGTCTTTTGTCATTTTTTTTCTTATGTGCAGTACTTACCCATCGTGTTCTCATTTATTTTGTGGTTCTTCTTTTGGTGTTCATTTTTTTCCAATAAACCCCTTCTGTCTCGGAGTTACAAGTGGATCGTCACCTTCATTCCACCTGGCCCCTTCCAGTTCATAACAGAATGACTGAATTAACACGACAATTCCTAGGCTCTGTGATGTCCCTCATGCTAGGATTTTTTATCCCTTGTACCCACTGCTGGTGTAACATGGATAATAATTATTTTCACTTGCCACTGTGTCAGAGCTGTATATACGTGTGCGCATTTTGGTTTAGTGTTCTGTCACTTTAAAATATTTGTGCAGTTGCCTTTAAGAAAACGATGCACACACCTTACATTTTCTTCAGTTTGGAACTGCCCGCACGAGCATGCTTATTGTGCCTGTCATTTTAGAACATTGTTTACTTTTATCGACAATTTTGTTATATTAAAGTATATGTACCTGGACGAGTTTAAATATGGACAAAGTTTTGTGAGGTTGAACAACTGTACAGTGGTACCTCAGAACTCGAATTTAATCCGTTCAGAACTCCGGATCGAATCCTAAAAAGTTCGAGTTCTGATCGAATTTTCCCCAAAAGAAATAATGGAAAACCAATTAATTGGTTCCCGGCCCCAAAAAATTACACCGAAATTTGTTTTTTTAGCATTTAAACACAAAATGAACTGGACAAAACAAGCAAAACATAACTAAACACATCTAAGCACATTTATCAAAACAGTAATTTTTAAAGTAAGAAAATAAATGTATCTAAACAATGTGTCCTGCCCCGATCGTCTGCTCCTTCCGTGTGCCATGCCCCATCGTTAACCCCGTGTGGAATCCCTGTGTGATCAGCTGTTTCTGTTTGTTGTCATTAGTCCTCAGTATTTAGTCCGCGTTTCAGTTTGTTTCCCCAGTCCGGTCATTGTATTGTCCGTCTGCGTTTTGCCTGCGTTACCTGTAATTAAACCCTGTATTCCCCGATACCCTGACGTCTGCGCCTTTGTCTCCGTTCCGTCCCCGCTGGGCACGCCAATATTATTATAATTAAATGTATTAATGGTTTATTATTAATATTAAAATAATTAGAAATCTTTATTTTAAAATATATTTTATTATAATAATAATTACTGTTATCATTGTCTAAAGGTATTTTTACTGTCTAAATATATGTATTCAGCTAGTGTAAACATGCACGATGCTATCACAACGAATGCGAGGCTGTGACTGAAGCGTTACCCTTTGTTTCTGCTGAGAGTCGTGCCGCATCACTCATTTCCCCGCGCGTACAAAATATCTTAGGTTGGCATTCACGGTTTGACTTCTGAGATTCAGATCGAGTTCTAGGTCATTTTTTTCGAACTGGTTGGTTCGACTTTTAAGAAATTCGAATTCTAATGAGTTCGAGAACTAAGGTACCACTGTATATGCATTCTATCTGTTCTGTGAACCTCGGCCCGTAGGCTATGTTGCTTGACAAGTAGCCAGCCACCAAGATATGTGTGTGTGTGTGGTACAGTGAGTGTTTTTGTATTTCCAGAACAGTGCTGTGATTGCAGTATTCATATTTTCCACTGGTACATATTTACACTGTAATTGATATTGCTATACCTCTGCAGTTTGGAACTGCCCGAGCGAGTGAACAGTGTTGTGATCGCAGTGTTCATCTTTTCCACAGAATAAACCAGTTCGATTAGGAATTTTGAGTTGCGGTGCATTCAATTAACACAACGCAAGATCACACCGGTTACACTGAACTAGTGGAACTTGGGTGTGAGTACCTGCCCCCGAGATCTGTGATGGCCCTAGTCCTGTTGGTCTGCCAACCAAATCTTCAGTAGCGCTCCAAATGTATGGCTTGGGATGTGCTGCGCCCTGAAGTGTTCCAGGGCTCCTGAACATGCTAATCCTTGGATCCCTAAAATCCTTAGGAGGGGAAGGCAAGCTCCTGTTTCCGGCCTAGCTCAGCCCAATCTGCCTCCAGGTGTAGCGGCTTAGCCCAGTCTGCTTCCAGGTGTTCCAGCTCGGCCCAGTCTGCTTCCAGGTGTTCCGGCTTGTCCCCCTCTGCCTCCACATGTCTTGGTGGAGGAGCTTGCATCTCATTCTCCTTCATCCCAGATCCCCAGAGCTTAACCCATGGGAGGCATCGCATCCCGCATCCGCTTTTCCCAAACCTCTAGTCCCTGGCCCAACAGAGGGAATCACTTCTGCAGTCTGGCTGAACAACATCTGTGTCCTTCAGATGATCTGGTAGAGTCTTTTTCACCACCCTGATATATCTCTATGTTCCTTGTCCTGTGCCCAATTCGTGTGTTCCTGCTCCCGAGGGTCTGTTCCCTGCCTTGTTCCCTCATCTGGTCATCTTCTCCCAATTCTTTGTCTTCACCCTGTCTGTCCTGTCACCCTGTTTCACCTTCTGACTTTTTCTGTCCAGATCACCGGTGTTTTCACGTTTGGTGGAGGGTACTGGCAGGGTCAGTGCCCATCCAACCCTATCCTTCATGTCTCCTCCCCATTTGGCCAGCAAATGTTGATGGCCATCCTGTCCTCCTCTCTGTCTCTTGCCCTTCAGTCTGAGCATATTTTCCCCGTTCTACGGGCTCTATAGGCTAAGCATGCAGCTTGGAGACTATTACTCTCCTGTCATGGGTTTAAGGCCAGTTAAAGACTAACCTGACCTGTCTAATTATATTTATCTGGTTTTCTTAGTTTTCCTGTTCTGGGTTTGCCCTACTTGTGTTCTGTTTTGGTTTTGTATTATACTTTTGTTTCATGTTAATTTTCCTAGTGTAGTATTTCCCCATGTTTCTTTAGTTTGAGGTTTGTAGTTCCTTTAGTTCTGTGGTTATTAGTGTTAGTTTCTTCAACCATGTCTTGCTGCTAGTATCCTTTAGGATTGGTTGTCTTATGTTCCACCTGCCCTTTGCTAATCTGACTTTTGATTTTAAAGGGTAAAACCACACTGCACACACAGAAAAATCCACTATTTCCCCACTAAAATAGATAAGGTTACACACCAGGTTGTTACAGCAAAACAATTCAAAGAAAATGTAAAAAAAAAAAAAAATTCAAGAAATATTTCATTCTCTTTTTTTCAAAGCAACAGAGCCATTGGAACCTAAGCAGACCAAAAATGAACCAGAAAATCTGACAGAAGAACAAGCAGATGCTAATGAGAAGGACTGTAAAAAGAAGCAACACAAGTACAACACAGTTGAAAAATTGGATGCAACTAACTGGTGAATAGAAATAGAAAATATTGCATTGTTGTCAAAGACCGAGTTTTGTGTATGATGTTATCAAGTCTATATGTATATAGAGTGTTTTGTGACAATATTCAATAAATATTTCATTGAAATGATTATTTAAATTAGAATTTTAATTGTCATTTCAATGATTGTTTATAAAAATGCGATTTAAATAATTATTTAAACAGTCAAACCAGCCACCATTAAAGTTATCTGTCAAAGTCACCCATCAAACTCAGTAGGCAGGCTCTAAACAAAACACAAGATCTGACTGGTTATATTGCAACCTAAGTCACAACAGATTGATCTTGCCTAGCCGATTGAATTCTCATTTATAACCTCGTTTTGTCTGTTCTGTCTTGGAGTTGTATACATCCTAACTTCCCCAAATCCTAAATAATCTCCTAAGCAGTTAAGCTGTCTTAACTTTAATTGGTCACCACATAGTGCTAGTTATAGCTAAAATTATTTATTCCATATGGCTGCTCCTTTATTGCTTTTACCCAACCAATGAGCTGTACGGAGCTACGGAGCTCATAATATAATGAAAAAAGTGTTGCATATTGTGGCCACCTTATACTGTAACTGTCATGCCCACAGGGGCGGGGCAACACAGCTGTTAGCAATTGTCACAATTCCAACACGCTAGGTAAATCCAAATCGTACTACAGAGTGTTGCGAAATATTGTTGCCATGCGAATGACATCTACTGAGCTTTTTTTTTTTTTTTTTTGTCTCGTGTATTCCCTGACTGCCTCATCGTACCCTGCTGCTTGCCTGCCCTGCTTCTCTGGTCCGCCCTACCTCCCTGCCTGGTCCTGCCTGCCCCGCTTGCCTGTCCTGCCCTGCCTTCCCGGTCTGCCTTCGTCCTCTCTCCCATCCCATCATCTCCACGTTCTGTCTCTGCCTGTAGGACTGACCTTCCTGGTTTTTAACCTTCTGCGCTCGACCCGACTACCCACTTGGATTTCCCCTTTAGCTCTTGGTGCACTCGGCTTACTACTCAATAAATGCTTCTCCCGCATTACAGGGTCTGCCTCTTTTCTAGTGTCCAAACGTCACAATAATACATGATGTGAATGAATCATACAAGTCCCGCTGAATCCGCGGTTTCAGTTATCCGTGGTTTACCTCGGTCAGAAAAAAAAATGTTAAATGCATGACTGTGATTTTTCATAGTTATCTCATCCTGTGATGGGTATATAAAAGCATGACTTACATTGCTCTGTTACACCTTAATGCATAGTTTTTTTTTCATTGCTCCATCATCTCTTGGGAATTAGGCTAAAACGTCATGATCCCTTTCATTAAAGAGAGGACAGTACTGTACAATAATATGCAATATAGGCTACTTTATTCTGATTGTATTTAATGCTGGTAATGTCTTACTCTGCGTGATATATCAAACTTTACCATATGCATGTACACGAAAATCACGCTATATATATATATATACACTCACCTAAAGGATTATTAGGAACACCATACTGATACGGTGTTTGACCCCCTTTCGCCTTCAGAACTGCCTTAATTCTACGTGGCATTGATTCAACAAGGTGCTGAAAGCATTCTTTAGAAATGTTGG